AAGCTTTATCTTTGTGTAATCTAAGTATATGTGAGAAATCACAGTTGGCATAATTTGTCTTAGTTGATATTCAGGGCTTTAAAAGTCATTGTTTCTGGGCTTGGTAAGTGAATTTATGAGATTTACTGCTCTAGAAAGTATAGATGGCCAAAGGACCGTTTTGTATTGTTTCCTGATTACCAGTCTGATTATACCATGTGTGCTAATATACTCTTTTTGTTTTAGATTGTCTTAACGGTAGGTCAAGTAATAAAAAGAGATGAAATAATTTAAATTCTTAAATGAATCAGTTTTTCTTCCCTTTCTCCTTTCTGTCTTTCCTCTCTCTGTCCTTCCCCAAAAGTCTACTCCGGTGGGCAGAAATAAAAAGGGAAGGTGAATTATGGGATCAGTGTTTTGAAAGAGTAATGTTTATTTTCAGTGCTTTTCAGTTTGTCATAGAAGGGATCTCAAAATCTTGCTTAAAGGGTAATTGAGATGTAGCAGATTTATTTACTGAATCATGGAAGGAAAAAAATTCAGTCAAAAGCTAAAGATTTCCTTTTTATTGAAGACAGATTGGTTCTGTGGCCTTGGAATTTTCCCAGACTTAATGGAGGAACATCATTTCTGGATTAGCATACTCTTTGGTTTAAATTTAATACATACGTTTAATGCTACTTAAGGATACTTATACATTTTTCGTATATACAGCCTTAATTTCTGATGCTTTTTCCTTAAGTTTCTGAGGAGTGAGATGATTAAGTTGTATTCATTAGTATATTGGTATTTCTTCACATTCAGTGAAGTTGGAGATATGTTGTATGTTAGAAGAGCATTCTTTAATTTGTGCTGCTTTGAACATGTGTACCTTTTCTAGATTGAGTAATCCCTTCCCCCAATCTTCTGGATTTTGAAACCTTTAAGTCACAATAGAATATAACTAAAGAAAATTGTTCTGGATTGATAGTCCTGGTTATTGTTGAATTCTCTCTCTAAACAGTGGCCTATGTAGTCTTTTTTAAAATTTTTTTTTATTTTTTAATGATCAAATACTGACATTTAAAAATTGAAGTAGCATGTCAGTTTTTTAAATACTACTTTATCCCCAACCACAAGTAATAGCTGACCGTTTTTACTTATGTTAGGCCCTGGCAGTGTATATTTAGTTGGGCTAAGACAACATCAAGGAGCAATGACTAGGTAACCATTTAATTTGTCCCCAAAGGCACTTTTTAATTAATTTTTGGAGACAGTCTCACTCTGTCTCCCAGGCTGGAGTGAAGTGGCATGATCTCAGCTCACGGTGGCCTCTGTGCCTCCCAGGTTCAAGTGATTCTCGTCCCTCAGCCTCTGGGGTACTGGGACTGCAGGTGTGCAGCATCACACGCAACTAATTTTCTGAATTTTTAGTAGAGGTGTGGTTTTGCCCTGTTGCCCAGGCTAGTCTTGAACTCCTAAGCTCAGTCTGCTGACCTCGGCCTCCCAAAGTGCTGGGATTACAGGCGTGAGCCACCGTGCCCGTCCCCTAAAGGTATTTATTATAATAGCCATCAGTAAAGGCTATAGCTGTGTGAATTTCTTAAATCTCTTCCTTCATATGCTTTGGGACTTTTACATAGAAAGCAGTGTTGTTATATACTTGTACCGCTAAAACTTGTTTCTTGACATAAATTCAGAGCTGTGACTTCATCCTGACTGCACCTAAAACCAAAACCACTGAGGAAGATTTTTTTTAATTTTGTGAAAGTTCTGCCAATTTTGCTTAAATAGCTGTGTGATTTTAAAGGTTGCCACTAGATGGAGAGCTTTTTTTAAAAAATCTTTGTTAATCTCAAATGAGTTAACTGTTGATCCTCATCATTCATGGGTTCTGTATTTGTAATCTGCCTGCTTACTAAACTTTATTTGTAACCCTCAAAATCAGTAGTCACAGGGCTTTTGCAGACATGAGCAGAGCAGTGAAAAGTTTGAGCTTCCTAACACGCATGTTCCCCACTGAGGTGGAACCAAGGGATGCTCAGCCTTGTTTCATCTCTCATACTGTGAATAAGTATCCTTCTCTTGGTCTTTTTAGTGCCTTTTTTTTTTTTCATTATCATATTTTTTTTGTTGTTGGCAATTTTGCTATTTAAAATGCCCCCAAGTGTAGTGGTGAAGTGCTGACTAGTGTTCCTAAGTGCAAGAAGGCTGTGATGTACTGTATGTAGTAGAAAATATGTATATTTGATGTTTCTTTTAGGTCTGGGTTACAGTGCTGTTAGCCATGAGTGCATGTTAATGAATCAGTATATATTAAAGTGTCTTTAACATGCCTTAACGTAAAGCGCACACACAACAAGATTATGTATTGATGGGTTGATGAAAATGTAACCAGAGACTCCCAGCAACCTAGCCCTGTATTTCCCCTAGGGGCATTATTCAATATTTGCCAATGCAGTCTTTGTGGTGACTTTATAGAACATAAACTAACTCGTAAGGTAATTGACTATTTTTTTTTTTTTGTAATTTTCCAACTAAGATTGTTTTTCTGACTTGAGAAGGCTAAAACGAATTCTTCCAAGTGCCTCTTTCTGTCAATTTATGTAATATACAGTTCCCTTTCATTTTTTAGTTTGCTGTCAGTAGTAACTTGAAAAGTTCTCACATATAGTCAAGAGAATTATTATTTCATGGGATATTAACAGTTCAAAATGAACATATTGGAAGAACATGATTAAGAATGAAATGTTTGGTTTTCTGGTATTTTTGAGAAATGAGCGAGTGTTAATTTTGTTAGTCAAAAAGCAACATAAGGTGAAAGATAAGTGAATAATAAGGTAGGTATACAGGTATACCACATACGGTGAAGATAGTGAATAATACAGTAGGTATACAGGTGTACCACACATGGTGTAGATAAGTAAATAATAAGGTAGGTATACAGGTGTACCACATATGGTGAAGATAAGTGAATAATAAGGTATGTATACAGGTATACCACATATCGTGAAATTCACTGCAGCAAAATTTGTATATAGGCCATTGGAAAAACCAGTCCGTTGTAGGTGGTGAAGGGGTTTGAGTTGGAGCCTGCTTTCCTGGGAGTCTGTTATTTGGAAGTCCCAAACCGTTTTATACTGTTCTTTGAACGTTTTTACCCAGATATTTTCCCATTCCTGTGTGTAATCTCCTGGTTCTTCATCCAAAGGGAAGAAACAACTCGAAGCAGGAGAGACAGTGGGTGAGGTGGGAAGCCCTGTCCTGCAGTAGGGTTACAACAGCTAAGGAAATCTTGGGATTAAGGTTTCTCTGTTAAAGAGTTGATTAAAAAAATTTTTTTATTATTTTTATTTTTTGTAGAGACAGGGTTTCCCCATGTTCCCCAGGCTAGTGTTCGTAAGTGCAAGAAGTGCCTTGGCCCAAAGTGCAGAGATTACCATGCCCAGCTGAGTTTTTTTTTAAAGCAAACAAATACAACCTCATAAATTGGGTGGGATACTGTTGGGTTTTGTGTTACAGTGAAAAGAACACTTTGGGATAGGTCTAAACCACTGTGTGATTTTGCTTACTCCCTCCGAGCCTTAAAGTTCTTCCATGTGCAGTGGAGGGTAGGGGGTTTTATCTGTATGTGAGAGGATTGGACACCTGTGTGTTGCTTCTGTAACGTAGGTGAAGTGCCTCACGTGGTCAGATCTCAGTGAATGGTAGTGACGCTATGGAGACACAAAGTTCAGGGGCAGCATACCAATAATGTGGGGGTACCAAGGGGTTACTTGTCCTGTCGAAGCTGTCTTTGCTCACACTGTAGTCTTGGAGACATTTCTGGTTCTTGATCTTGTACTCTCTTTAGCAACAACTCCTTTCTACTCCTGTATGCTTATAGTATTTGAACATCCGGCCTTTGTCAGAAAAGTTGATGTGAAATAAGGCCTTTTTACTTGTTGATTGACTAGTCACTCCATGGAATGAAGACCTTCCTGTCCTCTGTTTTTGGTCATTAATTATGGAATGAGAAACAGCCTTCTATTAAAAGGAGTTTCAGATGTCAACAAGTCAGTAGGGAGAAGACAGAGGAGACAAAAAAATCCCTACTACACTTACTTTTTGTTTATTTTTTTGAGATAGAGTCTCACTCTGTTGCCCAGGCTGGAGTGCAGTGGCATGATCTCAGCTTACTGCACCTTCTGACTCCCAGGTTCAAGTAATTCTCCTGACCTCAGCCTCCTGATTAGCTGGGATTACAGCCGCATACCACCACACCGGGCTAATTTGTGTATTTTTAATAGAGATGGGGTTTCATCATGTTGGTCAGACTGGCCTCGAACTCCTGACCTCATGATCCACCCACCTTGGCCTACCAAAGTGCTGGGATTACAGGCATAAGCCATCGTGCCTGGCTACACTTACTTTTAAGGGGGGCTTCAATAAAAAACCTGACTTTTAGTCTTTTGAGCCAGCTGCCACAGGGAGGGGAGTCTACAGGGCCTCCCCTTTCCACATAACTCCTTTGTCCTTTTGGGGATGGGCTGGGGACAATCCTGGGGTCTTACAGAAGTAGACTGTGGTTGGTGGGCTGTGATCAGCCATGGCCCTTTCCTGTCTTACTCCAGGCTTGTGTCCCTGCTAGGCCTCTTCCCATGCCATCTTGACCTTAGAAGACTTTCCTTTTTTTTTTCCTTCATCATAATTCCTTATTTTGTTACTGACTGCTAAGTTTGACATATTTGATGTTACTTCAATTGTCATTTAATACCCTTCAGATGGGAACACTGCTTTTCTGATACTCTGAGCAAATCCCGATTTTATTTTTGCCACTTGTAATAATATAAAGAAGTTACTCTTGAACCGGGCAGCATGGGTTACTGATTCTGATTGGGCCAGCGACTAGAATATGAGTAGGAAAGGTGAGGTCTAATTTGAACCTGTTTGAGAGTTACTATTTGCAGATTTTAGTCAGCCTGTGATAGGCCAGGTATTTTGTCTGGACCTGGAGTTATCTTTGACTCGTAGACAATAAGGATCTGGAGAACAGTCAGGTATCCACTTGGTGTCCTTTTATTTGACTTGTTACAGTTAGTTAGTAGTCTCCTGGGATCCAGGCTGCCAAACCTGCCAAGTCTGACCCATATCCAGATGACCCAGTGCACTCAGGAGGTCATCTGTGGCCTTGAAGCCAGTAGTTTTTGGGAAAAATGTCTCAAGGCAATGCACTGCAGAAGCAGTGCACCCAGGAGTTAAGATCGAGTTCTGTGGACCCCACTTGCTGTTTCAGAAAATGCCCTGCTTCCTTCTTAGCTGACTTGACCTCCAGCATTAACAGGTGGAGGTGAGGAAGCAGGGTCTGCACTCTTGAGTCAGCTGCTCTGGCTCCAGGCATATTTTCTGAAACTGGACTCTTCTAGCCCTTAGCTTGTCAAGTTAACCTGGCCAGAGTCTGGAGCCAGTTGTTCCACTGGGCCATTGGCTATGACACTCTGCTCTCCATGTGCCGCTATGCACCCCTCTACTGTCCTTAGGATGGTTTGGAGCCTTCGATCCAGGGCAAGGAGGTGGGGTTCAGTGAGTACAGGGCTGAGCGGGTCTTCTAGCAGTGACTCGCGCATCACATCACTGAGTCTGTAGTCGGCTTGGGCCAGCAGCTGCAGGTGCAAAAGTGTTTTCTTTTTTATCCTGAAAAGACAAAGTCATAGGAACCAAATAAGTAAATGTAAAGAAAATAACTTGCCTGAACTTGCTGCTTTCTCCACAAACAGCTGTTGTAGCTGATAGTCTTGGCCCTTCTCCCCCAGAGTCTTCTCAAGCACATTTAAATGAAAAACAGGTAAAAAGGGAATAAATGAAGCAAAGGCAAAATCCAGTATCTTGCAGTCCTTTGCCCAATTGCCATTTGATCAAGAAGCCTGCATAGCCATTTGTACTCTAATAACAGTGATGCGGGCCATATGCATTTTCTCTGATAAGGCTAAGGGAATCAAAACCGAAATGACACTTAGAATTTTTCAAGGAGTTTTTTTGTTTTTGTTTTTGTTTTTTTGTTTTTGTTTTTGTTTTGAGACAGAGTCTCGCTGTGTCGCCAGGCTGGAGTGCAGTGTGGTGGCTCACTGCAACCTCTGCCTCCCAGATTCAAGCAATTCTGCCTCAGTCTCCCGAGTAGCTGGGACTACAGGCAGCCACCATTGCACCCAGCTAATTTTTGTATTTTTAGGAGAGACAAGGTTTCACTACGTTGGCCAGGCAGGTCTCGATTTCTTGACCTCGTGATCCGCTGGCCTTGGACTCCTAAAAGTGCTGGGATTAACAGGAATGAGCCACCATGCCCAGCCTTCAAGGAGAGTTAAAGTAGGTGAAACGAGGCCGGGTGTGGTGGCTCAAGCCTGTAATCCCAGCTCTTTGGTAGGCCAAGGTGGGCAGATCATGAGGTCAAGAAATCGAGATCATCCTGGCCAACGTGGTGAAACCCTGTCTCTACTAAAAATACAGAAATTAGCCGGTGTGGTGGTGTGTACCTGTGGTCCCAGCGACTCAGGAGGCTGAGGCAGGAGAACTGCTTGAACCCAGGAGGTGGAGGTTGCGGTGAGCCAAGATTGTGCCACTGTACTCCAGCCTGGCGCCTGGCAACAGAGTAAGACTGTCTCAAAAAAAAAAAAAAAAAAAAAAAAAAAGCAGGTGAAATGGGAGAAGTTTCTAGTAGGTGAAATGAGCCATTTGCCATCTCAAAAGCCCTCAGTACTGCCAGCCTTTCTTTCTTGCTAACTTTATTTCTGTGTGTCAGATTTTAAAATCACAGATGAAAATGTGGTGGGACCCATCTTTAGGATTTCAGTTTCTTTTTATGTGGGAACCTGGCTTGAACTCTGACGCGTAAGCAGCTTAATTGACTTTTGTCATAAGCAGGTACTGCTCACCCAGTCCTGCTCAGGAGGCAGTGAAAGGAGGCCACAGAGAAGCTTGTTTAAATTAGCCTAAGACATAGATGAAGAGTACTCATGCTTTGCTCTGAGTTTTCTAGCTGGAAACGAGACGTTTTTGCTAGGTGTGACTATCGTATTGATAATTAGCTGTGGATACTGCCCTGAGCAGGTGGTCAATTTTACAAGCCTGGCTGAAACACCAGAGAAGTATGGAAGTAGGTTAGCTATTCTCTAGAGAAATAGTGGCCAAGCAAGGGCCTTTGTGCTGCCTTCTAGTCGGCACAGGTTTACAGGACTTTAAGCAGGATTTTGCTTAGATGGTGATCAAATCGTAGTATTTATGAGCTGATATGAGTGCTGGGCAAAGCGGAGGTCTGGTTAGTAGTATCAAAATCCAGCAGACAGCAAAAATAGGTGATTATCTAACTAGGTCAACGATTAAAGTTGGCAACTGAAAGGTTTGAAGGATTAAATCCTAATTCATCCTATGTGGAAGGATGAAAAGATATGTTGTGGGGAAAATTGTGGTAGTTGTAGTACAGTCACGAATTGCTTACTGATGGGGATATGGTCTGAGAAATGTATCCTTAGGTAGTTTTGTCACGGTGCGAACATCAGAGTACTTACACAAACCTAGATGGTGTAGCCTGCACGTTTAGGCTATATGCTGCTTGTTGGCTACAAACCTTTACAACACAGTGGTGAGCATCTGTGTATATGAAAATATCTAAACATAGAAAATACAGTAAAAAATACTGTAAAATGCAGTAAAAATACCATATTGTTAACGTAGTCTTATGGGACCAGCATCATATATGCAGTCTGTCAGTGGCTGAAATGTCATTATGCAGTGCATGAATGTTTAAGAAATGAGGGGTAATCCATGACATTCTACCCACCTATGCCTAGACTAGTGAAAACTGATGAAGCCCTTCAGACCCTGGCTGCAAGCAGCATGAAGGGTCACAACTGTTACTTGTTACTTGCCCTTGTGATCTGCTGCAGGAAAACTTACATGCAGCACTGAGAGAGAGGCGAGAGGATGGAGATTTCATCATGGGAGTGTCGTCCGAACCTAGGAGGAGAAACAGGCTTTTATGGGTGGCTGGTAGCATCCTTCTCATTCCCTTGAGGTTTCTTCTCTCCTCTCAGCATTTTGTGAATCACAGATTGCGGTAAAATGCCAGGGACCATGGCAGCTGCCTCTCCAGCCCCTCATCCCAGTCAGACCACAATAACCTCTGTGCAAAGATGTTAAAGCTCAGCAATCCTGTTTTCATTCATTCACTAGCTGCAGAGGGCCAGCCACTGAGGGTGCACCTTGCTCTCGAAAACCTCACCCTGTTTCACTAGAGGGCACATGAGTGCCCTCAGGCTGGAGGAGGGTCAAGTGGTACATACAAAGGTAAAGAGAAGGAAATGGAAGAAGCAGGGCTAGAAGGAGACAGGGCACATGATGGTAGAGCCTGTTTGCAGGGCATCAGTGTCTGTTTTCCCTGAGCAGCGGGCTGCACAGAGCAGCACATCTGGGAGAGGGGAGCGTTGGACCCATGTAGGGACACTCACCCTCTGGCATTGTCAAGGTGAATAAGGAACCCATCGTCCCCGAACTTGGTGAACATCTCGTAGTGGTGCCGGTCCATATTTCCTGTGAAGGAGGGGAGAACTCAGAGCTGGGACCAGCAGGCCGGGGGGACAGGTGCTCCTGACCTGAGTTCTCTCCAGGGAATGGAAGCCTGTCATCACTTCAGAGGCAGGGGCCTGAATGAAGCTGGGCCTCACAATGTCATCTCTCCAGGGCATCAGTGAAGAACCCGCTGGAGGGAGAAGGAAGCAGGAAGCGAAACAAGCAAACCATAAATGAACTTGTTTCAAGTCTAAGGCTTCCACCTCTGCCCCTGTGCCAGCTGTTGGCTAGGGATTTGAATGTGCAGAAAGTTACCTTTGCACCTCGTGTACATGTTGACGCTGGCTTTCCTCAGCCCCAAGATCCTCAGCTGAGCCTGGTTGTAGTAAACAGACACAGCTAAACTTCCTGAAAGGCGTGATGAGCCGGTGTCTGACCTGCTTCGGACCTAAGCTCCTGTGTGACGGCCACCTTCCTAAGTGTCTCCTTTTCTCCCTGGAAGTCCCTGAGGGCCTGGAAGGTGGAATTGCTATCTTAGGTGTCAGTGGCCTTGCCTGAGGCCGTCCCTGCTGCGTATTTTTTGTGTACTTTTCTTTCCTTCCTGCCTTGTTTCCTCTCACTTGGTGATGTGAACAGACAACCTCCAATCTGATGCCCACTCAGGCCTGTGGCAGGGTGGGATGCTGCCTTATGAGTGATGATGACCCCTTCAACTTCCAGCTCTTTGAAGACAGGGAAGCCCGTTACCTTCTGTCCTCTGGGACCTCTGCCACTTCTGGGGCTGTGGGAGGTGCAGAGTTACTCAGTCCTCATGAGCCAGTTTGTAATTCTGTGCTCAAGGTCTCAGGGAACCCTCGCCACATAGCAGAGCCCACTTCTGCCGGGGGCCTGGGTGTGGAGACTTACCTATCAAGAAATCGAAGATGGCCATGTCTATGACGTTGAGGAGCCGCTGGCTGTTGTTGTACGGGTAGATCTGTTTCACTGTGTCGCAGTAAAGGGGATTGACCTCCCACCTGAGGGGGAGAAGAAGTCCTGGGGCTGGAAAAGCCAAGATGGCAGGCTGTTGGGGGCTCACCCCACACCTCTCCCCCACCCCCAATCCCTGCCTCCCTGATCCTGCCCTGGGCTGGTGGCAGCTTCTCACATTCAGAAAGACCCTGGGCAAGAACACGTAAGGCTGCATATTCCATGTGGTGAGAAGGTTCTGGGTCCTTTCACTCTGGTGGACACTAAACCCATGGCTGGGATACTGCATGCCAGAGAGGAGATGTCGGGGCAGGCAGGAAAGGAGGGGCAGTGACCCTCACCTGCTACTTCATCCCTTCCTCCACGTTCCCTCTCACCAAGCCTCTGGGCCCCTGGCCCTCCAGGGCCCCTGCACCACTCATAGACCTTCCACGGGCTGTTCCTGCCCTTTCTCTCTCACACGTGGTTTTCTGCCTACAATGCTCCAATGCCCATTTTCACCTGAAGGCTCTTCTCAGCCTTCATAGAGTCCCTTGGGATCTTCCATGTCCTCCAGACATTCTGCCTGGTTACTTCTCTTCCCACTATGATTGCAATGGCTTGACTGACGGATCGATTCAGTCAGCTAGTGCTGAGTACCCGCTACATGCCAGGGAGGGTGCTATGTCCTAGGGATACAGCAGTGAGGTCCTTGGCCTCCCAGATCTTGCTCAGGGGAACCCGGTGTCCCTCCCATGGGGTCTTGTATGCTTTCTCATTATTTATAGAAAGTGCTGTGGTGTATTTTCATGATCTGGCTACATGTCTGTCCTCCCCACTAGACCAAGGAGCTTCTCAAAGGGAGAGTCAGAGTCTTCCATTTCTGTATACTGTAGCACTTAGTGTTGGATACACGGAAGGCTCTTTATAACTGAATAAATGTAAAGGGAGAAAACAGACCCAGGTCTGCTGATCTCAGGATCAATATGAAATGGGGTAAAGGTGTATTGAGGCAGCTTTTCAGATTCAAAAACCAAGCTAACTACAAGTGCCTGGTACAGGGTCTGTGGTTACTGTCAAGGACTAGACTGTGTGGCCTGGGGACCAACTCACTCCTCTTTTCCTGCCAGTGAGTAGGAGCGGATCCAGGGGTTGGGCACAGACAGCCTGGGGGCCAGGTTGAGGGATGGCAGGAAGGCGGAGAGGGAGCCTTCCAGCAGGTGTGGGTTGCCACAGACAGCATACTCCGTCTTGCACATGTATGGACACTTGGCGAAGAAGCACACGTTGCTGGCTGGAGGATGGGGAGGAGAGAGGAGAAGGAGTAAGAGGAGGGCTCTGGAGGCATGCCATCTTCCTGCCCTAGGAAGTCCACTGGGAGGGAAGGGAACAAGAAGAAGGAAACATTGACTTTTCCAGAAGTGAGGGTGTGAATGCTACTAAGCTGAACCTCCTGGGTACCTGCTTTCAAATGTCCCAGTCTCACACCATTCTATCCTTATGAATAGAACACTCTTTCTTACTCTGGGTGGATGACGTGGTGCGGGGGAGGCCAGCATCGTAGGGTCAATGCCCACACGAACGAGGTAGCATCTCACACACAACATTCTCCCATCCACAGTTCTTCACGTGTTACGGTCAAGCAGACCACGGTGGGAGTGTCTTACAACCTCATACGCCCCTCCCAGGAATGGATAGCGCTAGCAGCAGGGTCTCAGGCCCCTGCTGAATGCAGGGATGGGCACTCTGGCTTACTATGTACTTAGACCCGGAATATCACTCGAGCCTGTACTTTACCTGGAGAGACAAAGAAAACACTCTGCAGGATTTCATTCTTCGTGACCTCTAGGATGTCCTTGGTGACATTCACTAGCCTCCCCACTGTTGGCGGCACCCGTCGGAAGTCCAGGATCCTGCAAGAGAGGAAGCTCTGTTCCATCTGAGCAATGATCAGGGAGTGGGGAGGAGGGGTCTTATCCCCCGGCCAGTGCATATTAGGAATTGGCTGGTGTGCCCAGGAGGGTGGCCGGTGAGGCGGGTCTCCGCTGTGTCAACACTGGGCCTTTAAACCTAGGTCTAAAGGAGTGGAGATGGCATAGAAAATAATCCTTATTCTGTCAAGCCTCCTGGGCAAACCTTCCCACCATCCCAACTTCGTTCTTGCTCGGTGCTTCTCATATTTTAATGTCCCTGTGAGTCATCTGGCAATCTAATTCAAATACAGGCTCTGATTCAGTGGTTCTAGGGTGGGGCTGAGATTCCTTAGATCTCGGCTCACCGCAACCTCCGCCTCCTGGGTTCAGGCAATTCTCCTGCCTCAGCCTCCCGAGTAGCTGGGATTACAGGCACGCGGCACCATGCCCAGCTAATTTTTTTTTTTTTTGTATTTTTAGTAGAGGCGGGGTTTCACTATGTTGACCGGGATGGTCTCGATCTCTCGACCTCGTGATCCACCCGCCTCGGCCTCCCAAAGTGCTGGGATTACAGGCTTGAGCAACCGCGCCCGACCGAGATTCCTTAGTTCTAACAAGCTTCTTGGAAGTGCCGATGATGCTACAGACTGCACTTTGGGTAACAATGATGGATAAAATAGAGGAATGTGCTTTCACCTAATATCATAACAGTGAGACTCCTTGGACAGATAGGAGTGGGTGCATTCTCCTCATTTCAGATCAGGAAACTGGAGCAGCTGCCCCAGGCAGCATGGCACGGAGCATGTTCTTTGTACGTTGTTCTTTTCATTACATACATTAAAAGGCCTTGTGTTTTTTCATCTGTGGGGTTGCATGGGACATTTTGGGTTCAAAGATACCGCAGTGAGGCATGAAGAAGATAAAAAGGCAGAATGAAGAAATGCCAGGGAGTTCCTACCTGAGGGTCTGTCCAGCCACTCCTCCCAGAGGGTTGCAACTTACAGGCAGTGTCACCTCCATGGGGCCAGACCCTACCTGTCCAGATGGAAAGCTGCAATCTCAGCATTGTGTCTCTGAAAGTCAATGAAGTAGAAGAAGTCCACGGGCGTCTCTTCATCTCGCTGCTGTCTGGAAGAAAGCAAGGAATCACGCCCTGGACTCAGACTTCAGCTGGGAGCCTGAGAAGAGAGCTGAGCATGACCAGCGAGAAAGGAAAACAGGCTTTTATGCCTTTCATGTACACACAGGTGACGGCATGGCAAGTCAGGAATGGCCTGTGGCTCCCTTGGCCGGGAGAAGACATGCGAAGTGGGAGGAGGCAGGCTTCTTGCCAGACATGGTACTGCAGGTGCCACCAATACCAAGTTTCCCACTTAAGAAGCTTTGGTGACAGTGACTGATTATTTTCAAAACCCAGCAGTTGAGAGGGAAGAAATAGACATTCTTCTGAGGATATAAGCAGAAGAGACAGGAATGGTTAGCAGAACCAGAGGTAGAGTACAGACCCAGACACCCAAGGATGAAGAAAGGTTGGGTATGAGCCAGGAATTGGTAATGGAAAACTGGCCCAGAAATGCAATTTAGTATGCTGGGGTTGAAGAACAAAAAAGTTCTGGGCCTTAGGGGGATGTGGGGGAGATATGTGGACCATCATCCCCTCAGAGAAACATAGCTGGATCAGGAGGGCTGAGGGTGGTTCATGCAGAGGACACTGATTTATACACATTAAAAATAATCTCTAATGGATTTCTGAAAAGCACCAGGCTACCTGAGTGTGGTGGGGCCTGCTGGGTGTGTACATTCGGGAAAGTGCTAATCATGAAGCGTATCGTGGTGTCAGTTCTGGCCTTTAGGCTGACTTTGCCTCGATGCTAATAAACATGGAAGAATGATGATCTTCGAATAATTTTATCATCCACTGTGTGGGACTGTTAAAATGACTGCAAAGTAATTTTAAGTGTAAATAAACGTCAGGTTGCAGAAAGCTATAAGTAAGAAGCACCGGCAATTCAAACCGTGATGCACATTTTGCCAAAAACCACAAGTGAGTCCTGGAAACCACAGTGAGGTGCTGTTAAAAGTGGAGATTCTGTTATAAAAGGTGCAGCCATATGTACAGCACAGCCCTCCGTGCTCAGGCCTGACCAGCTTCTCATCATCGATGATGGGTATTTAGGCTAGAAAGGACAGTCCCCCTTGCCAGTCTCGTTTTAATTTCTGGATCACATCTATAGGAATACAGCATCTCTCAGACACCCTTTAGGATCCTCTAAAACATTTTCTCATTTTTGTATGACATAAGATAGAAGTGATTTTAAATTCAAAGGTTGTTTTTACTTTCTATCAATGCTTCTCATACTTTGAGAAGCACAGATGCATGTCTCATTATACCTTATATTGTATATATTACATTTTAAGAATATAATCTTTATGTTCCTAATGTATATTTTCCAAAGATAAATTTCTATGTTCTTTCTTTCATCAGGAAAACAATGGTGTTTGCCTGAAATTACTTACAGAAAAAAATGTAGTTTTTCAAGAAGTATATTTTAAAATACTATTTTAGATTTTGGACTACATTTTATAAAAATGTAGATTACACTGTGTTGTGGTATAAAAATAGGTAAAACTGGCCCTATCACTGAATGTTGGAGGCTTTTGCATTATAGTTGGGAAAAAGCTGGTGAATTTGAACAATTTTTGTACAGGCGTCCCTTGGAGATATGGCAGGTTTGGTTCCAGACCACTCAATGAAGCAAATAGCAATAAAGCCATTCATGCCAATGTTTTGGTTTCCCACCCAATCAATATAAAAGTTATGTTTTTATTACGCTGGAGTCTATTAAATGTGCAATGCATTATGTTTAAAAATTGTAAGCCGGGCACGGTGGCTCAAGCCTGTAATCCCAGCACTTGGGGAGGCCCAGGGCGGGTGGATCACAAGGTCAAGAGATCGAGACCATCCTGGTCAACATGGTGAAACCCCGTCTCTACTAAAAATACAAAACATTAGCTGGGCATGGTGGCGCGTGCCTGTAATCCCAGCTACTCAGGAGGTTGAGGCAGGAGAATTGCCTGAACCCAGGAGGCAAAGGTTGTGGTGAGCCGAGATTGCGCCATTGCACTCCAGCCTGGGTAACAAGAGTAAAACTCCGTCTCAAAATATATATATATATATACATTTTAATGGAAAAACACTTTATTGCTAAAAAATGCTAACACTCATCTGAGCCTTCAGCAAGTCATAATCTTTTTGCTGACTGACTGGGGTAGTGGTTGCTGAAAGTTTGTGTGGCTGTGGCAACCTTTAAAAATAATGCAAAACCTGTAATCCCAGCACTTTGAGAGGCTGAGGTGGGCAGATCATGAGGTCAGGAGATCGAGACCATTCTGGTTAGCATGGTGAAACCCCATCCCTACTGAAAATACAAAAATTAGCTGGGCGTGGTGGTGCACACCTGTAATCCCAGCTACTCGAGAGGCTGAGGCAGGAGAATCCCTTGAACCCAGGAGGCGGAGGTTGCAGTGAGCCAAGATCATGCCTATGCACTTCAACCTGGCGACAGAGTGAGATTCCATCTCAAAAAAAAAAAAAAAAAAAGTTTGCTGCATCGATTCACAAAAGATTTATCTGTAGTATGTAATGCTGTTTAAGAGCATTTTATGCACAGTAGAACTTCTGTCAAAACTGAAGTCAATCCTCTCAAACCCTGCTGCTGCTTTATCAACTAAGTTTGCATAATATTCTAAATCCTTTGTGGCCATTTCAACAATGTTCACAGCATCTTCCCCAGGAGTAGATTCTATCTAAATAAACCACGTTCTTTGCTTATCCATAAGAAGCAACTCCCTGTCTCTTCAAGCTTGATCATGCAATTGCAACAATTCAGTCACATTTTCAGGTTCCACTTCTCACTCTAGTTCTCTTGTGATTTCTACGTCTGCAGTTACCTTCGCCACTGAAGTCTTGAACCCTTCAAAGTCATTTATGAGGATCGAAATCAATCTTCTTTTAAACTCCTGTTAATGTTGACATTTCTAACCTCCTTCCATGAATCATGCATTTTCTTAATGGCATCTAGAAGGGTGAATCCTTTCCAGAAGGTTTTCAAATAACCTTGTCCAGGTTGATCAGAGGAATCACTAACTGGCAGCTATAGCCTTACAAAATGTTTTTCTTAAATTGTAAGACTTGAACGAATGACTCGTTGGTCCATGGGTTGCAGAATGGATGTTGTGTTAGCAGGCATGAAAACAATATTCATCTCCTAGGACATCTCCAATAGAGCTCTTGAGTGACTAGGTGCATCGCCAATTAGTGGTAATATTTTGAAAGGAATCTTTTTTTTTTTTTTTTTTTTTTTTGCTGAGCAGTAAGGTCTCAACAGTAGACTTAAAATATTCAGTAAACCATGCTGTTAACAGACGTGTGGTCACCCAGACTTTGTTGCTCCATTTATGGAGCATAGGCAGAGTAAATTTAGCATCATTCTTGAGGGCCTGAGGATTTTTGAATGGCAATTGAGCACTGGCTTCAACTTAAGCTATCAGCAACATTATCACCTAATGAGAGTCAGCCTGTCCTTTGAATCTTTGAAACCCGACATTGACTTTTTTCTGTAGCTATGAGGAAAGTCCTAGATGGTATCTTCTTCCCATAGAAGGCTGTTTCATCTACACTAAAAATCTATTGTTAGTGTAGCTACGTTCATCAATGATCTTAGTGAGATCTTCTGGATAACTTGCTGCAGCTTCTCTATCAGCATTTGCTGCTTCACCTTGCATTTTTATGTTATGGAGATGGCTTCTTTCCTTAAACCTCACGAACCGACCTCTGCTGTCTTCCAAATGTTCTTCTGCAGCTTTCTCACCTGTCTCAGCTTTCACTGAGGAGCATCAGAACCCTGCTATGGATTAAGCTTTGGCCTAAAGAAATGCTGTGGCTGGTTTAATCTTCTATCCAGATAACTTAAACTTGCTCCATATCAGCAATGAGGCTGTTTTGCTTTCTTATCATTCATGTGTTCACAGGAGCAGCGCTTTCAGTTTCCTTCAAGAACTTTTCGTTTGCATTCACAACTTGGCTAACTGGCACAAAAAGCTTAGCTTTCTGCTTGTTGGCTTTCAACATGCCTCCTTACTAGCCTCACGAATCATTTCCAGCTTTCCATTTAACATGAGAGATGTGACACTCTTCCTTTCATGTGAACACTTAGAGGCCCTTGTGTTACTAACTGGCCTGATTTCAATATTATTGTGTCTCAGGGAATAGGAAGGCTTGAGGAGAGGGAGAGAGACTGGGGGAACAGCCAGTTGTTGGAGCAGTCACAACACACATTTAGGCCAGGCACAGTGGTTCATGCCTGTAATCCTAGCACTTTGGGAGACCAAGGTGGGTGATCACTTGAGGGCAGGAGTTCAAGACCAGCCTGGCCAACACAATGAAACCCCTTCTTTACGAAAAATAGAAAAAATTAGCTGGGCATGGTGGTGGGCACCTGTAATCCCAGCTACTTGGGAGGCTGAGGCATGAGAATTGCCTGAACCCAGGAGGTGGAGGTTGCAGTGAGCTGAGATCATGCCACTGCACTTCAGCCTGGGCAACAGACTAAGACTCTGTCTTGAAAAAAAAAATTATGTTTATTAAGTTCACTGTCTTATATGGGCACGATTTGTGGTGTCGCAAAACAATTTCAACATTAACATCAAAGATCACAGATCACAGACTGCCATAACACATGTAATAATAAAAGAGTTTGAACGCCAAGAGCAGTGGCTGATGCCTATAATACCAGCACTTTGGGAATTGAGGTGGGCAGATTACCTGAGGTCAGGAGTTCGAGACCACCCTGGCCAACATGGTGAAAACCTGTTTCTACTAAAAATGCAAAAATTAGCCAGGTGTGGTGGCTGGCACTTGTAGTCTCAGCTACTCGAAAACCTGAGGCGATAGAATCACTTGAACCCAGGAGGCAGAGATCGCACCATTGGACTCCAGCCTGGGTGACAGAGTGAGACTCTGTCTCAAAAAAAAAAAAAAAAAAAGTTTGAAATATTATGAGAATTGCCAAATGTGACCCAGAGACATGAAGTGAGCACATGCTGTTGGAAAAATGGCACGATAGATTTCCTTGTTACAGAGTTGCACAAGCCTTCAATTTGTAAAAAACATAATATCTGCAAAGTGCAATAAAGTAAAATGCAGATACAGCGAAATTTGTTTTAACTGACCAGGGAGAGAAGAAGTTTTAGGCTGTGAGTTATGTTACTTTATTTTCCTGCAAAGGAAACACTACAGGTTCTAGTCGTTTTTCTTCCCTGATACAGAAGAACTGAGGGTGGAGCTCATCCATTGCATATTAGCTTCCAGTTTAAACAAATTAGAGATATCTGGCTGGGTGCGGTGGCTCACGCCTATAATCCCAGCACTTTGAGAGGCCAAGGCAGGGGAATCACCTGAGGTCAGGAGTTCAAGACCAGCCTGGCCAACATGGTGAAACCTTGTCTCTACTAAAAATACAAAAATTAGCTGGGTAGGGTGGAATGCACCTGTAATCCCAGATGCTCAGGAGGCTGAGGCAGGAGAATTGCTTGAACCTGGGATACCGAGGTTGCAGTGAGCTGAGATGGCGACACTGTATTCCAGCCTGAGCCACAAGAGCAAAACTCCATCTCAAGGAAAAAAAATTAGAGACATCCTATTGTGCCACATACAAATTTTGCTCAGAGAACAGACTCTATGGTCCTGGTGATTTGTAGTGCATTCGCAGATTCATCATTACTTTTATACTTCTTGCTAATGTCTCATGTTTCTCTATCAGTGTTCCTTATGTTGCCTCTCTCTAACTGGTGCTCTCTGTTGAATATATATTATGCATGCTTGACTAACTGTAACAATAATTAAAACTCTGTAACAACCAGAAGGTCACTGGTGGCTCTTGTGTTCAGCTGAGTGTTGTGCCAAAGAGTCACATGTCTACTTGTGGAACCTCTGCTAATTGCCCTGGGTATTGGCTGTTCAGCATTTCAAAGGAACACAATGTATTTATTTATGTATTTTATTTATTTATGTACTCTTTATGCCAGAATATAAGATAAGGTCTCTCCTGAAATTGCCCCTTGGAGAGGAGTCTCTGTATTCAAGCCTTGACATACTCAATCACTTTATTTTGTTTGGGACAGATACATTAACCTGGAATGACTTGACTTTGTGGTGGTTTTACTGCCTAGTGTAACTGGTCACATCAGGTTATTGGTGGTGATGGGGGAGGGGAGTGGGGAAATAATTTAATATTGATTTAACGTTCACCCCCAACTTGACTCTGATGATGACAACCAATGCCCCAATATCAAAAAAAGCAATATTTCTAAATCAATATACTGTTTTTTATGATGGGATTTAAAAATCAATATAAATATAAGCATAGATTCCATTGTTTCATGTACATTTCCGGAGAGTTTTAAGTTGATCTAACAACTAGGATTTTGAATCTTTCACGTAGGAAAAATGAGAAACTTTTTTTTTTTTTTTTTTTTTTTTTTTAGATAGAGACTCCCTCTGTTGCCCAGGCTGGAGTCAGTGGTGCTATCTTAGCTCACCACAGCCTCCTCCTCCTGGGTTTAAGCAATTCTTCTGCCTCAGTCTCCCATTCAGCTGGGACTACAGGTGTGCACCACCACACCCGGCTAATTTTTGTATTTTTTTGTAGAGATAGGATTTCACCACATTGGCCAGGCTGGTCTCGAACTCCTGACCTCAGATGATCCACCCACCTTGGCCTCCCAAAGTGCTGGGATTACAGGTGTGAGCCACAGTGCCTGGCAGAGGAACTCTTTACACAGCAGTGGTTCTCAAGGTTGCCTGGGCCTTGGGATCACAGGGAGAGCCCACAGAGCAAGCCCACTGGACTCCCTGAGGGTAGGACTCAGGCATAAGGATTTGTAGTAAAGGCTTCTCAAGTGAATGTAACATGCAACCGAGCCACTCCAACCCCTCCTTTAAGGAGGTGCTTTTGCCAAAGCGATTTGGACTAAAACTCTTTATTCAATGCTTATTCAAGTAGGCCCTGCCAATAAGAACCATCTGCTGGGCCAATCAATAGGCCTCCGAGCTTTGACTGGCGGAAGGTTTGGAATCTCCCAGTCTAATTGCATTCCACTAGAAGAAGTACATTCTGGAGGAAAGCATGACTTGGGTGATGGGGCTCCTCTTGGGGTGATTTTCTTTTCTGCAGGTCATCTTATCATCTCAAGGAGGAACATTCCCTTGGGCTAAGGCACTGGGGCCTTACTCCAGTACTTTTTACTCTAGGGGACCCCAACCTGTGGGCTGCAGATCCTTTGGGGGCCAGAAAACCAAACTCACACCAAGCTCTGTCTAAGGACTAAATACATCTTATTTCACCCATCTGTATGTTTTACAATAGTTTCAAGGCATGTAGTTGCTGTTGTTTTGAATAAAATATACATTAATGTAAACATGTAATTGACTTCCTAGTAGCCTTTCTTGATTGTCTAGTTTTTTCGGTTGAAACAAGTATTGCTGTATATAAGCCTGTAAACTTTTTGATGTCAAAAAGAGACTGCTATCCCTGGAAAAAAAGTGGGGATCCATTAAAGTGGTGGAATGTGATCTTAGCAATCCAGCCGCCTAGGTTTGAATCTGGATCCGCTGTTTGCAGCTGGATGATTGGGATGAGATGGTCTCTTTCAGTGTCAGTATCTTTATCCATAATCAGGTGTCCCCAGACTTTTTACACAGGGGGCCAGTTCACTGTCCCTCAGACCGTTGGAGGGCCGCCACATACTGTGCTCCTCTCACTGACCACCAATGAAAGAGGTGCCCCTTCCTGAAGTGCGGTGGGGGGCCGGATAAATGGCCTCAGGGGGCCGCATGCGGCCCGCGGGCCATAGTTTGGAGATGCCTGCATAAGGTGGACATTATAAGAGTACCTGACTCACAATCTTACCCACGATCCAAGGACACAATTTAGGCTGTTATGTGGCATAGATGCTAGTAGGGTCCTGATAATGACAAGCTCTTGGTATTTTCAATTATTATTATTATCACCCAAAACAGTTCTACGCTTGGACAGATTAGAGAATCTCTGAATAACTGGCAGAAAGATTTTGGGTCACTTTTATGAGTTTTTGGTCCAAATTTTCCCAGAGCCGCCCCAACAAGGTGTGGAAAGGAGGAAGGCAGTCACTTACCTCATGGGTTTGAACATGGCCTTCCCAAAATCTGAGAACCTCAGCACCAGCTTGAGGTGGACCCCACTGGGTTTCACAACTGTGAAAGGCAGAAGGGTGGGTTAAGCCCAGGCATGTGACTGTTCCTTCAATAAGCCCATCCAACTTCTCTTTTCTCTTATGTAATGAGACCCTGAAGACTAGGATATGGTCATCATAGCCTGCAGGGTAAATGCCATGGTGTCAGACCATAGTGACTGTGTCCAGGGGTTCAAGACAGTACTTTTTACTTTTGGAGGTGAAGGCTGGAGGATCGCCTGAACCCAGGAGTTTGAGACCTGTCTGGGCAATACAGTGAGGACCCCGTCTTGAAAAACAAAAAAAGGACATTTTCTGCTGGGATGGGGGGAAAACAGCAAAAAATACAATTAAGATATTTAGTGAAAACCCTAAAGAATGTTTTCCTAAGAAGAACGAACGCTTTCCTCTTTGTGTTTCAACTACATCTTTGTAGATTCTATTTATGCCATCTGTTGTATGAGACTAGTTTGTTCATCTATGCCTCTTTCTATTTAAGACTGTACACCTGGGCTGGGACCAAGGCTTGGCAAATGAGTGCTCCTTGGGTGTAGGGAGTGCTACTTCCTTAAATTTTGCATCCTGGGCACCTCACTTGCCTTATCCTCTCCCTGGTCCTGGAGGGTCAGGACAATATCTCACTTACCTTGTGTTCTAGAAAGTGGTCAATGGCAGGTACTTAACTGGAGAAAAGGGAAGCCTGGGGTGGTGTAAACCTTTGTTTTTCAAACCTTAGTGATGTGGTTAGGCTTTGTGTCCCCACCCAAATCTCATCTCAAATTGTAATCCCCTTGTCTCAAATCTCATCTCAAATTGTTGAGGGAGGGATGCTGTAGGAGGTGATTGGATCCTCGGGGTGGTTTCCCCTATGCTGTTCTTGTCATAGTGAGGTCTCACGAGATCTCATGGTTTTATAAAGGGCTCTTTCCCCTTTACATCCTCTCTCTCCTGCTGCCATATGAGATGTGCCTTGCTTCCCCTTCACCTTCCACCATGATTGTAAGTTTCCTGAGACCTCCTAGCTATGCTTCCTGTGAAGCCTGCAGAACTATGAGTCAAATAAACCTCTTTCCTTTATAAATTACCCAGTCTCAGGCATGTCTTTACAGTAGTGTTAAAATGGACTAATACATTTTTACATGCCCCGTCAGATGTAGTCACATGTAGACATTTCTGATGTGTGTTCCACACACTGAAGTAAAGGGATTGGGTCACTCATGGCTGGTGATGACAGGCCTGACGGCTTTAGGGTCTAGACCCACCTACAACCAGGTCACAGCACTCGTGGAGGGGAGCTCCGCCACTCTCGGTCCTAGCTTTTTGATTCCATTAATCACTTATCCTAGTGAGTCTCAGCCCTGGCTACATTAGAATCACCTAGGCCTCACTGTCTGCACTTGAATCAAAATTCCTGGGGCTGGAGGCTGGGCAGGAACAGTTTTTAAAGCTCCCCCAGTGATTGATATATATATATATATATATATATATATATATATATATATATATGGAGAGAGACAGACAGACAGACAGACAGAGACAGAAACAGACAGAGATACAAAGTCTCACTCTGTTACCTAGGCTGGAGTGCAGTGGCACGATCTTGGCTCACTGCAACCTCCGCCTCCCAGGTTCAAGTGATTCTCCTGCCTCAGCCTCCTGAGTAGCTGGAATTACTGGCACATGCCACCACACCCAGCTAACTTTTTATATTTTTGGTAGAGATGGGATTTTACTGTGTTGGCCAGGCTGGTCTTGAACTCCTGACCTCAAGTGATCCACCCAACTCAGACTCCCAATGTGCTGGGATTACAGGTGTGAGTCACTGCACCTGGCCAATTCTAATATTTTGTCAATAGTGGGAACCATTTGCTTCTTGAATTTGAAAGTGTGCTCCAATCTCTTGAGGATTTTGTTAAAATTCAGATTCTGATTCAGAAAGAGAGTGAGACTCTGCATTTTTGATGAGCTCCTCAGTGATGTTGATGATGCTTTTCCTGGGCCATGCATTGCCCAGTGGGGCCTACATAGCCTTCTTCTTAAGTGCCTTTTCTTGTTGTGGGTGGGTGGAGGGAAATGTTGAGTTCTCAGAGGTTAGGCAGAGAACCATGCTCCTTCCACTCTTGCCCAAAGTCCCCGCTGGAGTGGATTCTGGGGTTTGCACAGCTGTGAGGGTGAGGAGGCTGGGTGGGGGCGGGGCCAGATCACTTACTCTGGGTGCAGTCACACGCCCCAAGCAAGGCTTTCTCATCTTGACTGTAATCTGCAAAGGAGGAGAAGGGCCATGAAACTTCCAGTCTTGTTCCTGGGAGAGACTACAACATGAGGATCCCTTGACTCTGGTACGGATCCCCAGAGGGGAGACTGTAATGTAGCCAGGGGCCCTTGACCATTTCATGTGAGAGCTCTTGAGCCCAGGAGACTGCAGCCTCCTTTTCTGCTCTGTCCCAGACCCCTGCTCTCTAGCCCTTGAGTTGGTACTCCAGCAATACCTGGCTGGGAGACTGAGTCTGGTTTTGTCTCTGCTAATAATTTGCTGTTTCATTTAGATTGTTTTAGTGCTTGACAGCACAGAGTTGGTATTAGCAGGCCTGTATTTGAATCCCAGCTCCACCCTTTAGGTCCTTGGCCAAGTTACTTAACCTTTCTGAGTCTCAGTTTCTCTGTCTGTAAAACGACAATGGTAATATCCATGCCATAAGGTCTTTGGATGAAAGAGAATGCATCATCTGCTTCAAACAAAGCACTCAATAAATGGTAGAGATCACTTTCCTTTAGGTGTAACAAACAAAAGAATACTTACGATGCCTCCCTTATGGGGTCAGGATGAGATTATTGCTATAGGATCTCTTTCAGAAGGAAAAAGATCAATGCCTATATTCATCTGTCTCTCAGGGGTCAGCATCAAGCCTTTAGTATTCCACTCTGGAGCCTGGCCTGGGATGCTTTACCCAGACTCTCTGGGAGAAAGTCAATCCCTCTTGCCTGATTCCATGAACCTTACCAGCACTGATGGTGGGAAAGTGCCTCATATCTTGCAGAAGTTTGCTGACAATAGGATTGGACCGGGAGTAGAGCCCATGGCGGTTAATGCCCAGGTGGAATTGGACCCAGCTGGCCTCGAGTCGGAGCTGCACTGGGGGGTCCAGGGAGGTGAGGTTCATCTGCTCTCTGTACATCTTGTGTCGCCTGAAAGAGCCAGATAGTTGTTCATTAGAGGAAGAAGAATGCAAAGAAGCACCAAGATACCTTGTCTGCACTTTTTATTCATCCTTTCATTTATTCCACAAGTGCATTAAGCATCTAATAAGGGGTAGGCTTTAAGCTGTGCTTAAGATATCATGGGGAGCAAAGCACCTGTGAGGTCCTTTCTTACCCTCAGAGAGCTTACACTCTAGTGAGTGAAACACACAAATAGTTATACAATATCATACGCAAATACTTAATTACAAACTATGACAAATCCTGGGAAGGAAAAAAGGCAGATTGCTAAGAGTAAAACTAGGGGCTTCAATAATCTGGGATTTCAGGGCAAGACTGTGGGCTTCTGTGCACTTTCCCATTAAAAGTCTCTATCTTACATCTCCTAGTATTTTATATTCCAAGGAATCAGAAGATAGAGGAGAGAAGGCAATTGGTAAGAATAAAAAGAAGAGAGGGTGCAGATCTTTAAGTGGGGCTGGAAGCTGAGTTAGATTAATCAATACATCATAAAAGAAAAGAAGAATTAACGAGCCATTTACTTTTTGTTCTGCATGGGCAGCCTTTTCTGCCAGGAAAAAAAAAAAAGAGAAAAATAAAAAACGATGGTGCTACCGTTTAGAGACGTAGAGTGTAATTTGGGAGACAAGTTGTATGTCTATGAAATAACCAGAGCAAAATACAAGGCTGTTATAAATCACCTGCTAAATACGTGGCTCAGACAGAAACACCTTAACATTTTGGAAAATGGAAAGATGAATCTAGGATGAAGTAGTCTGAGGACAAGCACAGTGAAGAAGGCAGACTTCAGCTGGATTCTGAAGAATGGGGGGTATTTGGCTTGAAGGGGACAGGGAGGGTACTTCCGCATTGGAGACCACATGAGCACTACGACAGGTAGGCAAGAAACTGGTGTAGCTGGGGATGAGAGAGGCAGGTTGAATAAATGGACTGTGGGATGAGAAGATGAAGGCCTCCAGACTGGAAGGGAAGGCAAATTCGTATGACATCATCTGGCTGGGAAATGTTGATTGTGAGAGATAGGTGGGATTATAGGGGCAGGGTTTTGCAGTTCCTATATATCCCTATTTCTCAAATGTGATAGTATACCTCCAGCGTCTGCGGCGGGGTGAAAACAAAACAAAACAAACATGGCAGATCTGGGAGTGTCAAATTTTCTCATCAGTCAAGAGTTTCAAAAATTACCACTTTGGGAGGCTGAAGCAGATCACCTGAGGTCAGGAGTTTGAGAGAGACCAGCCTGGAAAGCATGGCAAAGCCCTGTCTCTACTAAAAATACAAAAATAGCCTGGCATGGTGGCGCACTCCTGTAATCCCAGCGACTGGAGAGGCTGAGGCAGGAGACTCACTTGAACTTGGGAGGTGGAGGTGGCAGTGAGCTGACATTGCCCCTCTGCACTCCAGCCTGGGCGACAGAGTGAGACTCTGACTTAATAAAACAAAAATTACTTTCCATCAGAATAAAAATAGACATATTATGGGGAAGGAAACAAAACACACCACAGGGATTTGAAACCACTTGTGATCTTAGTGATTGCAGTGGAATGAATGTTTATGTTCCCTTCAAATTCATATGTTGAAATTTTAACCTCCAAGGTGATGGTATTAGAGGTGGGGCCCCTGGGGAGTGAATTAGGTTATGAGGGGGTAGCCCTCATGAACGGGATTAGTGCCCTCATAAAAGAGACCTCAGAGAAATCCCTCACCCCTTCTGCCATGTCAGATTATAGCAGGAAGATGGCATCTGTGAACTAGAAAGAGGGGCTTCAGTAGAAATGGAATCTGCCAGCACCCTGATATTAGACTCCTCAGCCTCCAGAACTGTGAGAAATACATTTCTGTTGTTTACAAGTCACCCAGTTTATAGCATTGATTATGGTACCCCAAACAGACTAAGGTGGTTTTGCTTCACCATTTCTCTCCCACTTTTTACACCCAGAATGAAGTGTACTATCCCAAGACATAATTGCCCAGTGCAGAGGAGAAGAGGGTAATCGCCACCCATCTTCATGGTGTTTCCTTGTAAGAATGTAATGCAATCATATTTTCTTAGAGACACGTGACATGATTTCCCAAGAAATCAAATCCCATTTCTTGGGAAATCATGTCACGTGTCTCTAAGAAAATACGATTTTATGGTAAGCGGGATTCTAAAATTGGCCTCTAAGATTCCATGCCCTCATTTCCAGAACCTGTGACTATAAAAAGCTCACACTCCATGACTATGCCATGTTCATGGCATAGCTGAATTTAGGGAGGTTGTCAAGGTATGCCTGATTGAATCACACGAGCCCTGGAAAGTAAAGGACTTTTTCTGGCTGCTATCAGAAGTCCAAAAGATCCAGAGCATCAGAAGGATTTGATACACTGTTGCTGGCTTTGAAGATGGAGAGGGTCAAGTGGAAGGACCAGAGAGCTGCCATGAGTATCTGAGAATGCTCCCTGGCTGAAGCCAGCAAGGAAATGGGAGCAAGGAACTGAATTCTACCAACAAGAAGAATGAGCTTGTAGGAGGACCCCTGAGCTGCTGATGAGAATGCAGCCAACCAACACCTTGATTTTAGTCTTGTGAGATCCTAGCAGAAAATGAGTCATACCATCTGATATGGTTTGGATGTTTGTCCCCTCCAAATCTCATGTTGAAATGTAGTTCTCATTGTTGAAGGCAGGGCCTGGTGGGAGGTCATTGTAACAGAGGTGTGGGTTCCCATGAATGGCTTAGCACCACCTCCGAGGTGATGAGTGACATCTTGCTCAGATTTCCTGTGAGATCTAGGTGTTTAAAAGTATATGGCCCCGCCCTGCTCACTCTCTTATGCTCCTGCTCTGCCATGTGATGTGCCTGTTCTGTATCACCTTCTGCCATGAGTAAGTGTTTTGAGGCTCTCACCAGAAGCAGCATGCTTCCTGTACAGCCTGCAGAACCATAGGCCAATTAAAATTTTTTTAAAAACAAATTACCCAGCTTCAGGTACTTCTTTTTTTTTTCTTTCTCTCTTTTGAGACGGAGTTTTGTTCTTGTTGCCCAGACTGGAGTACAATGGCACAATCTTGGCTCACTGCAACTTCTACCTCCCAGGTTCAAGTGGTTCTCCTGCCTCAGCCTCCTGAGTAGCTGGGATTACAGGTGCATACCACCATGCCCAGCTAATTTTATATTTTTAGTAGAGATGGGGTTTTACTATGTTGGTCAGGCTGGTCTTGAACTCCTGTCCTCAGGTGATCTACCCACCTTGGCCTCCCAAAGTGCTGGGAATATAGGTGTGAGCCATGGCGCCTGGCCAGTTATTTCTTCATAACAACACAAAAATGGCCTGAAACATCATCCCAGGCTTCTGACCTATAGGACAAATGGGGTGTTGTGCTAAGTGTCTAAGTTTGTGGTAATTTGTACTCAGAAGCAAAAAATGAATACATATTTTGTTTAGAGATGCTCAAAAGCTAAATGCTCTTATTTTAAGCATATGCTTTTATTTCTTTAAAAAATAACCCTAAGTAATATTTTTTATTAGATCTAGAAAACTATTCACACAAGTGCTTTCGTTTGTTTGTTTTTGTTTTAGAGATGGGGATCTTGCTCTGTCATTCAGGCTGGGGTGCAGTGGCACAATCACAGCTCATGGCAGCCTTGAACTCCTGGTTTCGAGCAATTCTCCTGCCTCAGCCTCCCAAGTAGTTAGGACTACAGGCATGCACCACAAAGCCCAGCTAATTAAAAAAAAATTTTTTTTTGAAGAGTCAGAGTCTTGCTTTGTTGCCCAGGCTGGTCTTAAACCCCTGGCCTCAAGCAATTCTCCCACCTCGACCTCCCTAATTCTCGAGATTATATGTGTGAGCCACTGCCCCTGGCCCTCAAGTGAAGTTTTAGATTTTCATTTTGTCATTAAAGTGGTTAATCAGCTTTCAGATGGGACATATATTTCTGAGTTCTGAGTTCTCCATGGTCACTCAACAAAACTGATAACAGGCTGCAGAACTATCATGGTAAGAGGGTCCACAGACTTAAATACCTAGAGAAGCAGGCAGACAGTATAAATGAGTGAAGAATGTAGGCAGAAGGCAATAAGGAAGGGTGGGGAGTGTGGTAAACTAGAGAGCACACTCTCCTTGGAAAGGGGAACAGTTGCTACCAAGTTTCAGCTGATAGTAGAGTTGTTCTGACATTGTTTATTCATCCATTCACTCATTCATCAACTATTTGTTGAGATACTAGATAATGATTTATATTTTGGAGCTAGGGCTGTGTACAAATTCATAATGTTTCTGTTCTCATGAAACTTATAATTTCCAGGGAAATAATTTATTCTGAGTTTGCAAGAAAAGCAGAATCCAGACTTTGATCAGGATTTGGATTCTTCTACGTGTTGACTCAAGAATGAAGAGTTGAGCTACCATTTAACCCAGCAGTCCCATTACTGGCCATATACCCAAAGGAAAATAAACCATTCTACCAAAAAGACACATGCACCTGTGTTTTCGTCACAGCACTATTCACAACAGCAAAGGCATGGAGTCGACCGAGGTGCTCATCCACGATGGATAGGATAAAGAAATGTGGGACATATACACCATTTTACGCAGCCATAAAAAAAAAGAATGAAATCATGTCCTTTGCAGGAACACGGGTGCAGCAGGAAACCATTATCCTAATGAACGAATGCAGAAACAGAAAACCAAACGTTGCATGTTCTCACAAGTGGGAGCTAACCACTGGGTAAACATAGGTACAAACGGGAACATCAGACACTGAAAATTATTAAAGGAGGAAGGGAAAGGGGGGTGGATTGAAAAAAACTGCCTATTGGGTGCTATGCTCACTATCTGGGTGACAAGAGTCATTCATACACCTTGGCATCACATGGCATACCTTTGCACCAGCCTGCATGTGTACCCTTGATTCTAAAATAGAAGTTCAGGAAAAAGTTTTGATACAAATGAAAAAAATATCCTGTGTGGGCCAAACAACA